GTGTTCTTCGACGGGGATTCTTGTAAAAACTTCTCTTCTGCCATTCACTTATCCTTCTGGATGGCAGAGACCACCAGGGCCAAGTGGTTTTTTGAGGCACTTGCTTCTACATCTTAGTTTGTTGCCGTTAGGTCCATAGGAATTTCTTTAACGTTCCTCGGAGATATCTGTCCTTCCATTTAGGTGGTTTTGCTCCAGTTTACCCATAAATGAGGTTTCTTTTTCTGCTTCCTTCATTAGGGACCAGGATGACTTGAAGAGGGAGAGGTTCATGAAGACAGAGAACTGGTCTTGGCATGCTACTCCTGCTAAGCCAACACATGCTGCCTCCTGCAGCAAGAGGACATACGATGAAGGGAGAAAGGAGATGGAGGCTGCAACAAAAACTGGACCATTATTGGTCAGAATGAGTATGGTAACTGGTCTCTTCAGACTCTCAACAAGTATCAACAGCTGATTTATACCATCCCCTAACTGTAGTTCTGGAATGTTCAGATCTCATATTTACTCCTTGCACTGTATTAAAATTCATATGGATAAAATATCCCTATGAGATAATGGAACTTGAACGGTATAGAAAATATTTGAGCTGCCTTAAGATGGTATGAGCAGGTAAAAAGATACAGCAATAATAAAGAGTTCATGCCTTCTTCCAGAATGGTACAGTTGATGTTTAGTAAAATATTTAATGATAGTTTTTCCACCCCAAGAGGGCTGTTCACACATTGTAGAGTCAAAGTCAAGATTTTCTGAGTGTGAAAGTATTTGTCTGGGTACGTCATTCAAAATACTTCTGCCCCTGCATATATACAGCACACTCACAGTAAACAATTATCAGTGTCTACATACCAGCACACAAATTGTCATTTGCATGTCTAGACTTTATTATATTTGGTTGCAACATACCCCAGACATACAAATCAATGTAAATTTACACTTCATTAGATCTTTTTCTTCTTCTCCAAGTAAAACCAGAATTTAAAAAGAAATGTAGAATTTTAGTGCAGGCATATATTAACATTTTTATAGTGGTTAAGCATTCTGTGAAGCCTATCCGTTGCTTCATAATCATACCCTATTTTACAAGTCATTGTCTACCTTTAATATTTTGTATGCATCTTTTTCAGGCCTTCAACACTTGTACTCTGAGTGAGGTATGACATCGTTCTTGCAATGAGGTACGATTCAGCTGCAGGGTTCTAACTCTCAACTACAAAAATTCAGTTCTACACAATGGAATTGGGAAACCAACACAAAAAATAACCCAGCTCTTGAGAATTATCTGACCCCATAGACCCCAAAGAGGGAGGAAACACCTGTCCTGTCAAATCTTTTATCAAGTACCTTTTATAATGTGCATTTCTGAAGCAAGATAATCTAAATTTGATCAGTTTACTTTACTTTGTGAAGGTGGGGGTTGAGTGGGAGAAAAGGAGTAGGTTTGAATTTTGTTTGTGCGTATGTGCATGCAAGCTCTAACCAAATAAACCCCTTATTTAAAAAAAGTTTCAAGTGTATTTTTCTGATTTAAGCCAATTATAGACATGGATAAATCTATTTCAGGGGAGAATTGAATGACAGTGTCTTGTGTTAGACAGGGTGAGTGATGTAATATCTACATTTCCATCTGTTTGATCTTTTTCCAATTTTCTTCCCACTGCTCCCTTAGTCTCATCTCATTCTCAGCTTCAATATCATCCCCTCTTTACTCTTGAAGCATTATCTCACTTCTCATCTGTTAATCACAGATCACTAGTTAAAACACATTCTTTTTGTGAAATTTCCCAGTGCTAAGCTTCCACACCAACTTCTTACCACCACCTTCTAAATTGTTTCTCATGCCTTGTATCTAGGAGGTTGAATTAGACGGTAAACTACTTGGGGTAGGGATGCTGTGTCGTTAATTATTGTATGGCACTTCAAAATAAAAAAGGCATCAGAGGTATGTAAGATTAATTATAGAGTCCAGTCCACCCACTGAGTTGCCATAACCTCATCTGTAGCTCTTTAAGGCAGGGACTAGCTTTTTCTGAATGTCTGTATAGTGGCTAGCACAATGGTGACCTTGATTGGTGACCTAGATGCTACTGCAATACATACACACTAATAATAAAGTTTAGCAGAATTTTACTATTAGTCATGCTGCAATTATAACCGAAAACTTAAAGATTTTTTTTTTTTAACAACAAAGTATTAAGTAATTCTATTAGGTTACCAATAACAGTTCCTGAAATCTATTTACCACTGTTACAACTCAGATTTCTTCAGCTGAAAATCAAGCATGTTTCACTATGGTATTTACTGGTTCATTTAGCAGAACAATAAATTCTTCAGTCCCATAAACACTGTTACAAATATATACTGTACCAACTTCTTGCATCAAATTAAACAGGTGCAACCATTTTTAAACTAAGAGAAACTGAAATCATGTTTTGACATACTTGTCATACTTCACAGCAAATTTTCTGGGCGCTCAAGGAAACGTACATTTTAGTCAGGCAAAAACACCATACCAGTCATTTTCAAAAGGGTCCTTCCATAAATTACTTTTATTTCTCATTGAATGAGCACAGAGTCATTACCATATTAATAACAGATATGTTTATTATTACATATCCATCAGTGCGACTTTCAATACCACTTGAAACATGCAAATCGTCCTGAGGACGAATCAGTTTTCCAGTGCTTCTTATTTAATACACAACTGCAAAGCCATTATAAATTACTGAGGAGGTATTTGGTTAAAAAAAAATAAAATAAAATAAAACCATACTGTCCCATACCATGAATGTATCCCTGCTACAAAGCAAGAGTTTAACAACATTTATACTTTAAAAACTCCAGATAATTCAGGAATTAAAGTTTCACAGGCATACTGTTTGTTGTTTCTCTATTACATGCGTTTTGCATTTTCTGGAAATCTCTTGTCTTATGAATAAGAATTCTTTCTTTGTAACAGGAGTTTTCATTCAAAGATTGTATTCAATTTAGGAAATGCATCTAGCATCTACAATACTTTAAACCAATTAAAGTTCAGTAAAAACTACTGATGCAGAATAGGTTTTTGAGATTTCTACGCTTATTGACATGGCAATAATACAATTATCTCAAAATAAGGCACTAAAAGGGCAATGCAACACCCATTAAAAGTGTTCTAAGAATAATTTATATTTCAAACAGTGCATACATTTCTTAAATGTCTATTAACTTAATGTACGTTATCACTTAAAACGGTAAGGCAATATGTTATACAATTACAGAAATCATGTACCCCCGAAATATGCTTCCAAACTTGGTTCTTTTGTAGTTAGTTTCTAATGCCTCTAACAGTAAAATAATTCAGTATGGCTTGGCAAATATGCATAGATTAAATGCTTGTTGTCCTCATCCCTTTACACACTTTCTGAATCAGTATTTTGTAAAGCATAATGCAAAGTATTTAACACTTCGATCCACTCTATTATGGGTGATTAGCATTAACGCTGTTAAGAGCTCTGCAGTGAAGGCACTGAAGTTCAAGTGAGTATACGGCTTCATTTTTAAGCTAGTTCTGCAGTGTTCAAGAGCGCAACTCAGAGTCTTCAAAGAAATTTCTGTTCTTCTCATTTTGAGATATCTTCCTTCTCTGCTCAAGTTTGCGTACTGATTTGGATATAAATATCCTCTCCAAAGGACAAACAGTCCTTTTCTCTCATTGATATGAGGAAAGTTGACTGCATTTCATCATGATTGACAGGCATTTTCTTATAAATCCAAAAAGGCAGCACCTTTTTCATACACCTAGCTAAGCGTTATTTGCTTTAACTTGCATTACATAGTAATAATTAATCTAATCTACCTTTAGGCAAACCCGCAATAAAACACCCTCAGTGCGCTTTTTGTGCCAAAGCAAGAAGGAGAGAATACAGCAATCTTAACCCTGAAGCCTGTGATAGTTGTGTTGAAAGGAACAACAGCCTGTCTGCACTGCTCTGTGTGGTTGAAGAAGCCCAGTTTCTCAGACTGCATCCCATGAGATTCCATAAAGTATTGTACATGTGGTTAGCTGGAAGAAAAATAAATACTGCAATTAATGAAGAAATCACAGGGACACTCTTAGTTCATGTTAACCAAGAGATTAAATGAAAAAATAAATGTGTTCTACATAGCAACATTTTATAACTTTTTTTTTCAATTTATAACACAGCAGGACACTAAAGGCACACTTACATAATTGTAAATTTAAACACAAAGCTCACATAAAATTCAAAGTAAATATATTTTCTGAGCCATTCAATGAAAATTCATTCACAGTATCATTTTATTTAAGAACAACGTAATGCTTAGTATAAAATTTTAAAAATCACAGTTAGATGATACATAAGATTAATGTATGCAATATTGTTGTAGCCATGTTGGTCCCAGGACATTTGAGAGAGAAGCTGCAAGAGGTAACAAACATAAGTTGGTCCAATAAAAGATATTACCTCACCCACCTTGTCTCTCATAAGGTTAATAACATATTAAATCAATGGGACTAAGTTATAGAAAATGAGAAAATCACAAAGCTTATATAAAGTTTTGAAGTGTAAATGACCAAAACAATGGACTATCCCTGACATAATCAAGCCTATTCTGTTTCAGTGTAAATGTTAATATTGCAAATACAATAATAATCTTACACACACTCCTTGTAATTTTAAACTATAGTGAAATAAATGCCAAAAATATTAAGAGCAAAAAATGACAACACCCCTGAAGATAAAAAGTTCCATAAAAATTAGTGTGGTAGAAGCCTAACATATCCTTTTGGATCTTCAGATAGCATTGCTATTGGTAGTAAACTCAATGAATTTTTGGTTTATATCTGTACCTGATGAATAGTTAAAATGAGGAAAACTCTCTACAAGAACTTAAGTATAATGAAGTGGGCATGATAAAAGACTCAGACTTCATGGACTTTCACTCAGTTTATTGGCACTGATTCAGGAAAGCACTTAAGCTTAACTTTAAAGCACATACCTATTCAGCAACACATCTGAATGAATGCTTAAATGCTTTGGGGCCTGACCCAAAGTTCATGGAAGTCAATAAAAGAACTCCAGATAGACTTACATGCTTGAAGTAAAGACTTAGGTGCTTTGCTGAATTGCGAATTACATAATTGTAAATTAAACAACACAAACACATAAAGCTCACATAAAATTCAAAATAAATTGCTAATTCCCCTTTGATCAGGTTCCGACATCTAAGAATGTAGCAATGGTCAAATACCAAGTAAATGCTAAATGTTATATTCCAAGGGGATTATCATCTGTCCCCATCTCCTCCTCCTCAGTTCTGGGAGAATACAGAATTATTATTACTACTACTCTTTTTTGGTAGTCGGGGGCTGTGAGAGGGAGGCCGGAAGAAGGGACAATAAGTCTTCAGTAAGTGGCTTGCATTGTATAATTTACGACAATTAAGCAACCAATCTTTTTCTTTCTAGTATGTAAAAGTGAATTTTTCAGCTGGCTTTGGTTATAAACCTGTGTTCATTAATTGCCGAAAATAAAATCCCCTTCCCCCACCTATCCCCTAAAAGATGAACCAAAGCCCATATAGAGAATATTTAGTGATGTTAGGAACATAGGAATGGCTGTATCATGTCAAAGTAGTAATCCATCTAATTTCCAACGACTAGTACCAAATGCTTCAAAAGAAGATACAAGAAAGTCCATACTAGAATAACTTGTCCATGGAGAAAAGTTCTTTCCAACCATTATCAGTTAGTTTCTATCTTATGCCCTGGCACATAAGCATTTATAGCCCCCATTTTTTCCTAATATAACTGGATCTTTTTATTATCCATTTAAATATCTAATCATTTTTGGAATCTTACTAAGCTCTTAGCCTTAATATCCTGTGTCAACTAGTTCCACAGGCTAACTATACTTCATGTAAGAAAGTATTCAGGGGGGCTGGGATAGCTCAGTGGTTTGAGCATTGGCCTGCTAAACCCAGGGTTGTGAGTTCAATCCTTGAGGGGGCCATTTAGGGATTTGAGAATTTAGTTGGGGATTGGTCCTGCTTTGAGCAGGGGGTTGGACTAGATGACCTCCTGAGGTCCCTTCCAACCCTGATATTCTATGATTTCCTTTTATAAAGTTTTAAGTGTGTTGACTTTAAATTTCATTGAATATCCTCTTGTTCTTGTATTATGCAAAAAGGTAAATAGGAGCACCAATTTACTTTCTGATATTTATTATTTTGCATTCTTTTATCATAGCTGCTCTTATTTGACATCTCTAAAATACATAGTTTCGCTCTTTTCAATCTCTTGCAATAAAGAAGCCTATGTATGCATGCCTCCAATAATTTGTCACCTGTCTCTGGACCCCTTCTATTTCTGCTAGAAATAGAGCAACACAAGTAATGCTCTTGCCCTACAGTATGTGACCGTTAAAATGCAGAATATGCTGGAAGTTATGTTCTGCAAATAAAATATGTCTGTATTAATCCTGAGTCACAATGAAATGAGATTGCTCAGGGCAGATTTCTTTGCTGATATTAAGTACACCTCCACCAAAAGATTCAGAGTAGGTCTGAGAAGAATATATATTGCCATTAAGGGTTTAACTCCCATCATCCTGGCACATATTGTATTAGTAAAATTCAGATCCTAAATTGTGAGAGCATGTATCTGATTACTGTTTCTTTACAACCGTAGTAGAGGGGCCAGAGAAGGTTTGGGCAAAAGATCTTCAATGAAGTAGAGAGAGAGAAAAACAGATACTTTAGAAAATTAGCTTGAGGGACAATTCTGTTTTCCTTTTTTTCTAATGAAATTCCTTGTTCAGTGTTGGAACACGACAACTCTATCAGATTTTTTACTACTGTTACATGACACAAAGGTGTCAATGGGATTAAAAGGGAAGGTTACTCACCAGTAACTTGAGTTTTCTGAAAGGGTACTTTCCCCCATAGATCCACAATCTTTTGACCTATTGAAATGTAGAAATGAACATTTCAAGAAAAATTTCAGATGCGCCGAGTGCTGTGTACACACTCTATATAAGCATCTAAAAAAGTATGCCTGTGCTGGTTAAAAAAAAAGACAAGACACAAGCCAAAATCTCTATTAAAAGAGAGTGAAAAGGATTCAGTGAGCTGGTCTTCCACTTCTCAGAAAATTTCGTCCCATTATTTTTAAAGAGTTTGAATGGAAAGTTTCTGTCTTCCCTAAATAATCTGTAAGAATGCCTGGGCAAAGTTCAGATCTTGAAATGAAAAACTCAGAAGCCAAGTAGCTAGATTCAAGGAGGCATGATCTGAGTGAAGAATCTGACAGTTCTTCCAATACAAGAGAATCCAACAAGGGGGCTGACCACTATAATAGAGCTGAGTAGTGGAACTGTTTTGTCTAATGTGACACTGTGGCAAAAAATGAAGCTCTTGTCTTAAGTGAGCCTTGAACTAAGTAGAACCAGAAATAGAGACAGAAGATTTTTTTTGTTGCATGAAGAGCCATATCTGTAGAGCCCATCTGCAGATTTCCATTGCTGTAATTTGAAGAATATACAATTTATAAGCTAATTGAATTAATATGCCATAAATTGAAGATGTGTTACTGGATTGTTCAAAATAATTACATAGTAACAGCTATCAGAAGCCTCTGCAGAGGGGAAAAGGAGAGCAGAGCGTAGTTAGGATAGAATTCCAGTAGCCCCCCAATAAGAGAAAATAAAGGATACAATTCTGTAAAAATACAATACAAAGGTAAAATAAGCAATTTTACAGACGCAAATGTGACAGTATGCAGGGAACACTGCATAATAGACAGGCAGATATGGGTTGGGGTACCCCAAAAATGTAGTTTTTAAATCAAGCAGTCAGAACGGTGACATTCCAATGGTTATTTTTGTTTTGTATATTTCAAATGATCAACAACAATACATTTTGTTATAAGATACATACATGCAGTATGTTAAATTATTCCCCTTTTTCCTTAATTCATCCTTTAGAAGAAATCTGGGATATGTTCCAGAGATGTATCGAACAATGCTCCTTCCTTTTTAGCGGTACCTTTCCTTATGTTTAGGTAATGCAAAAGCTCCCTTACAAATGTCTACAACCACAAGTGTGAATTCTCCAGAATTCACTATATGAAGATCATTTCAAAGATGGACATACAAAAGCTCTGAAAGCAACACACCAATTTAAAATAGAATCCCCACATTCTAAGGCAAAGTGAGTGGGAAAGCAAGAATCCTGTGTGAAGATATCTTAAAAGAAGCAGAATTACAAAGTAATGTTCAGAATCAGTTGAACAATCTTAAATCAGCAGTGGGTTCTTTTTTTGATGAGGAGAATTACAGGTTGCCAGAAGTGGAATGTTCTATAGCAGACTGAAGGACACTTAAGGCCTAATCCAAACCTATTGAAGTCAATGGGAGTCTTTCCACTGACTTGTATGGGCTTTGGATCATGACTTTTGTTAGAATGGGTCCAAGGCAGGGTGTCTGGGTTGTCCTGGGAAAAAAGTAGTTGTTTCAGCAATTGGAGTGCTATTTAGGACCTATCAAGTGCTAGAGCCTTAATAGTTGAAGCACCTAGGGCTTGTTAAGGCATGCACTTTGCACGCTACTGAGTGAAGGGCAGCTCTCCAGACCTCATGAGGAGGCAATGATTATCCAAATGGTACAGGTAGGATCCCATTACATTCCCAGTGGTATGAGGAAGAGCTCGAATGGTTAATTTGGCAGGCAGGAGTTAGGAAGGTGTCAGATGGCTACTTGGCACTTGAAGTGAATAACCCTGACAATTCAAGTCTTTGATAGACTTGAGAAGAAAAACAGACATGATAGTCGAGGTGTAGAACCAACACAGCTCATATTCATGGTTGGAGTGTACAACGGGGATGGCAGAAGTCTGGCCAATCATATCAATCACTTTGAGTGGACTGCAAGAATAAATAGATGGAATGAGGCCACCGAGCTGGATTTTCTGGGTCTGCTATTCCAACACAAAATCAATAAGGTGTTTCAAGGGCTGGCGTCTGACAGGCAATGGGGATAAGCATCTACTAAGAATGACCTACACAGAGTAGTCCCTGGACCAAACCACAGATTCAAAGTATAAGCAAGCGGACTTCAATAACTGGAGACAAGAAAAGGGGAATTGGACAGTGATTTTGGCTATGTCCTCTAACATTCTGCCACCATGCATTCCCACATTTTAAGGAACAAATGCAGGGTTCATTGTACCAAGGCCAGTTTGCGACCTACATATATGAAAGGAAGACTGGGATAGCTCTTTGAAAGAGGAAGCCTGAAGTACTGGAAGGCACAATCACTGTTGCAAAATTGGAGCTAGCCATAGAGGCTGCAGAAGAAGTGGCTCAGCTCCTTGGGAAGAGGTGGCTAAGATCAAGTGCTTACGTAGGAGTGGTACACCTGGCATAATAGCAGTGAACCACAGCACCCCTGAAACTTATGAGCAAGCCATGATTACAGTACAGTATTTCCAATCTTGACAATATGCCATATACATAGGATTCCTAGTAAAAGAGAACGATGTCAAGGAATGACTCATAATAAACAATTAAAAAGGTACTGCTAAGTAAGCTGAGGTTCAACAGAGCGCTTCTGCCTTGACAAAGCAGGAGCTGGATGATATTGCCACACTTAGTGGGGAAACACCTGCTCCACAGAGCCCTTGCTTCACAAACTGTATATCAGTAGGGATGGAGAAATCCCGCTGCTATGTTGTTTTTCAATGGAAGCTCAGTAGGCTGGCACTTCAGAGAAATGTCTATGCCCCATAACCTGGCAGGTGTGTTTGCTCCAAGGCAAATCTAATATGGATCCCACAACATCAATGAATCAGAACATGGGAAAAGGTAAGGCATTTTGCACTAGGAAGAAATTCAAACCATGAGTGCTTCAAAATAAATAAATTAAATTAAAAAACCCTCTAGAGTGAAACTGCCCTAAAATTTGGAGAGTAGAAAGAACACAGCCAACTTGGCTTGCTATATGGAACTGCTGAGGTCCACCTGGGAAAGAATTCTTGAGCTCCTCCTGCAAGTGAGTGCGCCTATGGTGTTCACTCCCCAAAGAAGTTCCTTCTGGGACAGCTCAACTGCTGTCAGAAAAGCAGAACAAAGCAATCTGAGACTCACAAAGGGAACTAAATGTCTTTGTTCAGGTGGTCAAATCCTAGACTGCCAAGATCGTCAGTGAATTGTACTTGTATATGTTAACATAGTCAACAGTGATCCTCAAGACTACCTTATCTGGGGAAATGACTTTCAACACGAGCTAGCACTAATTCCAGGAATGTTGCACTAAAGCTCACAGCCACTGCCATGGCAGGAGGAGGAGGATACAAGCAGAAATCTGGGGCCAGTGAGTTAAGAACAATAAGGGTTTTTAAAGTATATGTGGGGGGAATATGTCTAACAATGGTATTGGTCCATTACTAGATGGTAGAATTGTCAATAGTGAAGAAAATGCAGAAGTTTTCAATAAGTATTTCTGTTCTATATTTGGGAAAAAGCCAGATGATCCATTCATATATGATGATGATGATAAAATACTTTCCATTCCAACGGTAACTAAGGAGAAGTAAAATAGCAGCTATGAAAGCTTAACATTTTAAAATCAGCAGGTCCAGATAACTTGCATTCAAAAGAGTTTTAAGAGGAGCTGTCTCTACCATTAATCTTGATTTTCAACAAGTCTTAGAACACTGAAGAAGTTCCAGAGATCTGGAAGAAAACTAAAATTGTGCTATTTTAAAAGGGTAAATGGTATGACATGGGTAATTATAGGCCTGTCCCAGCCTGACATCAGTCTTGAGCAATACAACAAAATGGGTGACACGGGATTCAATAAAGAATTAAAGGTGGGCAATTTATGCCAATCAACACTAGTTTATGGAAATTAAATCCTGTCAATCTAACTTGATATCTTTTTTAGATGAGATTACATATTTTATAGTTAAAGGTAATAGTGTTGATATAATATACTTAAGACTTCTGTAAGGCATTTGACTTGGTATCATACAATATTTTGATTCAGAACTAGAATGATATGAAATCAACATGACATTAAATGGATTAAAAATTATCTAACTGATAGGTCTCAAAATGTGAATGGGCAGTCATTAAGTGGGTGTGTTTCTAGTGGGGTACTGCAGCGATTGGTTGTTGGCACTATGCTATATAACAATTTTTTTTTTTTATAAATGTCCTTGAAGGAAACATACAACATAATCTGGATTGCTTGGTAAACTGAGTGCAAGCAAATAACGTGTATTTCAATATGGCTAAATGTAAGGTCATACATCTCAGAACACAGAACATAGGCCATGCTTACAAGATGAGACACTATTTTGGAAAGCAGCAAAGCTGAAGAAAAAAAAAAAAAGAACTAGAGAGTCACGATGGATAGTCAGCTGAACATGCAATGCCTTGGCCAAAATGTTTAATGCAATACTTGGCCTCTTCTGGCCTTATACTCTATGAATAACCTAGCTGATGAAGTCCAGCGGCAGATCCTAAGCCACACACTGATGTGTTGAGCTGCTCAGCTCATGTTCCAACACAGGCCATTAGAGAAGGTACTGTCAGTGAGATTATTCAAGCCTCTCCTCCCAGGTGTTATGCCCGAGTGCTGATCAGTTCTTGATGTTGAATGGTAGAAAAGTTCTTTGTTCTGGATAGTGAGCTAACAGAAACATGATGCAGAATCAAAATTGGCCTGACAAGCATCATCATAACACTCTGCCTTATGAAGAGTTTGTACCTCAGGAGGCACAGGAAAAGTGAGAACAAAGTATAAATACTCCGAAGTGTCTCCCCACATCAGAACACTAAAGGACCCCAGTTACTGCTGATGCAACAAAGCAACTTCCCTTCTCTGAGTACCATGAGAACCTAGTCAGAAACTTGGCATCTAGAGATAAAAGAGGCATCAAACCTTTCATGCAGTGATGCCCA